CGGAAAACCCTTTCGTCTAGCGAGTTTTTCGTCTTGCGAGGCATTCGTCTTGCGGGGCACCACTGTACATTTAAAGCAGCACCATACCATTTGAAGCAGTCAGGGCTTCCCACCCCCCAAATGCTGGGATCTGCTGAGAATTGCTAGGAGACTGCCCCCCATAGAACTGCATTTCCCAGAGTACAGTGGTACCTCGGTTTACTGATGCTTCAAGTTACAGACGCTTCAGCTTACAGACTCTACTAACCCAGAAATAGTACCTCGGGTTAAGAACTTTGCTTCATGTTGAGAACAGAAATTGCATGGTGGTTGCACGGCGGCAGCAGGAAGCGCATTAGCTAAAGTGGTGCCTCAGGTTAAGAAGTTTCAGGTTAAGAACAGACCTCCAGAACGAATTAAGTTGTAACCCAAGGTACCACTGTATGTTAACAGTCAGTCCCTCTTATCTGGGAACTGTAGCTTTGTGAGGGGAATAAAAAAAGGTAAAGGACCCCTGACAGTTAAGTCCAGTCGCGAACGACTCAACGACTCTGGGATTGCGGCACTCATCTCACTTTACTGGCCAAAGAAGCCGACGTTTGTCCGCAGACAGTTTTTCTGGGTCATGTGGCCAGCATGACTAAGCCGCTTCTGGCAAACCAGAGCAGCGCACGGAAACGCTGTTTACCTTCCTGCCGGAGCGGTACCTATTTATCTACTTGCACTTTGACGTGCTTTCGAAGTGCTAGGTTGGCAGGAGCAGAGACCAAGCAACGGGAGCTCAACCTGTCGCGGGGATTTGAACCGCCGACCTTCCAATCGGCAATCCCTAGGCTCAGTGGTTTAGACCACAGCACCACCCTAACAACTTTCAGCACCCTTAACAAACTGCTGTTCCCAGAATTCTTCGAGGGGCAGCCCACAACTGTTCTAAGTGGCATATTGCAGATGAAATTTTCAAACTCATATACCTTATTTCTGGCCTGTAAACTGTTCCCTCATTTCTCATAAATTGTTTATCTTGTATTCACCATATTCTTCTGGTCATTCTGAATATTTTTATTTGCTGCTGTTTAAAAATAATCATGAAATAAAAACTGCAGCAATCGTGTTACTCCCCTGCTGTTTGCTTCCTGCCTGGACTACTATGTGAAAAATTAATATTCAAGCCCAGAAACCAGATATTAAGAACGTCTGCAAGATTGGCTCTCTGCTCCTACTGGTATTCAAATGATGCCCAGAGATCTTTTACGCTTATCTGATTTACCCCCACAGCCCTTTGAACTACAAGGAATGTACCCTCACAGTTTAAACTCCGGAATTCAGGAGGCAGGAATTGGCCTCAGAGAACAAATGCTCTTGGGGAAGGAATTCACTGAACTCAGCCTCCAGATCTACTGGATTCTTTAAACTATGAGGGAGAATGTTCCATTCATTTTACCTCATTTTACCTGGCAATTTACCTCAGAATAAGATCCACTAAACATAGGACAGGTAGGTAACCTAATGCCAGGAGGCTGGATGGGGCCCAATCGCCTTCTCAATCTTGCCTGCAGACAGTCCATGAAGCATTGTGTTTTTACATGAGTAGAATGTGTCCTTTTATTTAAAATGCACCTCTGGGTTATTTATGGGGTCTGCCTGATGTTTTTACATGAGTAGAATGTGTCCTTTTATTTAAAATGCATCTCTGGGTTATTTGTGGGGCATTTGTTCATATTACCGTATTTTTCAAAATATAGTCCGGCCTCCCACATGGTCTGAGGGATGGTGGACTGGCCCATGGCTGAAAAAGGTTGCTGACCCCTGACATAGGAGGACTCACTTCTCAGTAAACATACATAGGACTATGCTGTTAGTGAACAAGTGAGCAGAATATTGCCACCCCTCATACATCCATATGCAAAAGGTCCAGAGCCATGGTTCCCAACGTGGGGCACACGCCCCACAGGAGGGCAATTTTTAAGGGGGGCAATTTGAGAATGAGTTGTAAACAGCTAATGGCCCTTTAGGCTTCCTCCACATGAATAGTTTTTGAAAAATAAGAATTATATGTCGGGGGGGGATCAGGATTTTAGAGATGCTGAGGTGGGGCATGGCCAAGAAAAAGGCTGGGAACCACTGGTCTAGAGGTTTATGTTAAAAGGGGACACAATGTTCTGCCCTAGACTCATCGTCAGGAATGGTGGGTTAGAAGGCTTTTAAATGAAATAAATAGCTCACCCTTAGGTCCCACTGAAATCAATATGTGTAACTAACACTCACCCAAAAATTGTGATTTTATTCATTTTGGGGTGAGGTGTTGTTGTTTTTTGCAGCTACCATTGATGGTTATTTCTATAGATGTCGGCTGTGTGTTTTTAATGTTATAAACACTCTTGAGGGCAGGATTGAGCTACTTTGGCAGGATATAAGTGATTAAAAAAATATTAAAATTAATTAATGGTCCGTTTTAAGGAATGTGAGCAATGAAGCTGCACTTGGGCAAAATTGCTATAAGGTCCTATTATATTTGCACTCATGAAAGCTATTGAAGTTATTTAACTCGTAATACCGAAAATTACCCCCCCCCCCTTTACAGGCTGCAATCATATACACATATACCTGGGGGAAAGCTCCATTGACCTCAGTGGTTTATGGTAAATACACGGGGGTGGGAAACCTCAAGCCTAGGGGCTGAACGCAATCCTCCCAGACAGTGTCCCCTTCCAAGGTCCTTGAACTGTAACATTATCTTGCTTGCAAGGATGGTGAGTGGTGTGTGTCCAGCCACAGATGTATCCAGCAGCCATAATCCCCAGAAGGCTGCCCATGAAGGAATGCAGCCCTTGGGCTGAAAATGCCCCCCCCCTGCCTAGGGTCACACTTTACATATTAATGCATTTATTTACTAATATTTTTGTGATCTTTGGTTTGACTACTTTGCCAACTGTATAGACCTACATCCCTGCAAGGAAAGTTCACATGGCATTCTAACTAATAGTCAAAAGGACCATCAAGCCAAGTGGCATTAACAACGTTTAAAGTCTTCTAAACCTCAAGCTATTCTGCTCTAACCATTTTTTAAATAATCAAATTAACTAATTGGCAGAATGGGTTGCAGACAAGGAAACATAAAAGGCAGCATGCTACTTAGGATCAAAGCACAAGGGTCATTTTTGTCTGTGTCAAACATGAGTGTAATATCTTGTACAAGGGAGACATTTTCTTATATATTTTAATGGTCCAGGTTGTGTTACTCCTAAGTGTAGAGTCTTTGATATAATTAAATCTTCACCTTAAAAGCTGCCGCCTAGAAAGAGACATTCCACACTTGGCATGGTGTATATTTAATTTGGTAGTACTGAGAACAATAGGCGTAGACATAAAAGAGTTTATGGATCTTAGGTTTCAAAAACCTTGCAAACCGAGATTAATCTAATCTCCTTTGTGTAAACCAGATCCCATATAAAGGAATCAACACCTTTCCTAAGCTAGTCTGTAATATTAGGGGGCAGGTGGATTTGTTGCTAATTTACAACCATTCCTCCAAAGGTACACACTATACAGCTGGACAATAAGGAGGTCACCAAAGATTTTTACATACATAGTCATCGGCTCTTAACAAAAATTAATCTAATGTAAAAGTCTCAGTGGCTAACTTCCGAAGCAGAGGAACTCAACAAATGTCTCGAGACAGAAATCCATATGCAAATTAACTCTTAATGGATAAATTGCACACGAATCATTTTGGAAATAACTTTAAAGTTACAAATAAACTGTGATCCTCGGATGAAGGGCAGTATATAAATTTAATAAATTTAAATCAATAAACGTGTCTCTTACGAGTGTCAATTTGTACCTTTATATTTCCAAAATTGGTGTGTGCATTTATCAGTCCTACAACATAAATCAAACCATCAGATTTAATAAACTGATGATCTTCTTCTGGTATAGTGGTCCTGATTAGGTGGGGGAAGGAACTGCCAGAGGATCCCTTCTAAGCCCTCTCATGGTGCTCCAACCTATAGTCCCTTCTCACCTGTTGAAGCAATACAGATTTCTGTCAAGGAGGCAGAGAAGTCTCTGCAGTTGGCCATTTATAGAAAAACAAAGAGATAGCTGCCATATATAATGCAAGGTTTTTTAGCCAAGCGTACAGTATTTTATAAAACTGAAAATTAAGTCTCTGGGCAACAAATGGCCTGTCTCTGTTACTGCACACATACATGCTTGGATTCAGAAATGTGCAACTGGAAAGTCACTCAGACAAAGGAACTTGTGTGTCTCTTCCTCCCCACATCAGTCCGTTGCACCAGCCAAAAATATTCTCATGTGGGGTTGGAGCATCTCCAGAGTGGCAAAGGTGAGGCATAGGAGGAGGAGGATGCAGTTCCACTGGTGCACATCTAGCTAGGTTGGGAAAAGGCAACATGTTGTTTGTGGGCTCTAAAGCCCATCAACTCTGAACACTGGCTAGATCCATGCCCTTGACTGCAAATCTGCAAGATTATTTCAACCTCCTCAGCCATTATAATTAGGTAAATGTAAACACATGATCAAATGCTCTAGCTCCATTCCCCCATTGCCATTTTCATTGCTTTCCTACTCAGAGCTGGCAAGCCTCTGTAGCGGGGAACCTTTTGTACCGGTGGAGGATTCCCATGTGGTTTAGAACCCTAGAAAAACCAGGATTTTAGAACAGGTAGTGATGGGGGAGCCTCTATGAATTGGGAAATTGAAAGACTGGTGATGGGAGTGGGAGAAAGCAAACATGATACCAGCCTATGACCTGGTTGCATTAGTCTATTGTAACTTTTGAAGAAGGCTTATGTATACTGTTTTTCTCAATTTTACTTAATGGGGCATATAGCTAAATTACTTCTGGTCCCCTTGCTAGAGACTCCTCCCCCTTCATTACGCCCTCACATTAGTTTATTTTAGCTAATTTGTGTCCCCTCACAAAAATCTGACTAAATTAAGTGGGTTAATAAATTCTCATGAGTCTGCACTTTAGTGAACTGGACTGCCACAAGAGAGAATATGAAGAAAAAGGTTTTAATACAAAGAAAAGGATATTCCAAAATGACATCTAACACCAGACAGTGGACACAATACAAAACAGGCTGTGGATGTGACCATCTCATGCAGTACATTTGAGTTCCACGATCAGCATTACAAACAATATTAAGAGGTGTAGTTATGAACAAAACATGAGTAAATGGTTACAACTGAACAATCCACCATGGACATGAATGAAGATTATCCTGCATCAGAACAAATGTCAGGGAGAAGAATATTTGCTTGTTTGCAATGGAAAAAATCCTGAAATCTCATTGAAATGAAAAGGCAAAGCTGGAAATCACTGTACTGCATGATACAATGAAGCTGTAAAAACATGGAAAGCTGTGTAACATAAAAATAGGTCTTCGGGGGGGGGGGGACGACTGGTTTCAGTATTTTATTTTCCCAAAGCAGTTTAAGCATACAACGTTCCATTCATTTTGGAGGTTAGGTTTTGAGGATTACATGTCTACATATGAAAAAAGGATCTCTTGAAAAATTATCAACCGCCTTTGGAATTTCCAGTGAAACACAAAAGCAGTTTTACATCTTTATTTCCTAGATGATATATTTACTTTTCCCACTAGGTGGCCCTAAACTAGCAGCTTGCTTACGGAGATCTATTTGGTAGCTTAAACAGAAAGGATACCTTTCTCCTTGCATGGATGCAGCACATGTACATAGAGCAAGATAAATAGGGGGAAACCAGAGCTATGGGTCAGCTTCTTCTTTGCCCTGTCCCCAGCAAACATGCATGGGTTTTGTTGCTGTTGCTGTTGTTTTGGGGGGAACCACACCTAAACTGAGTTATTACATAATCATGTTCACAGGCACCAGGAATATCACCCCCTCCATTTGAAAAGTGAATATTCCAAGTGCAGAGATGCTGAGATTAAAAATGGGTAGGGCAGAAAGAGTCAACACTGTCAGTGGGAATCTCAAAAACTGCAAGGAAACACTGGCTTTTGCAAGCAAACCATCCAACTTCCTTTAGCTGAGCATGTATTCTGGTCTCATGTTGTCAAGTAATGTGGCAACAAAGAATAGAGTGAAGAAATAGATTTTCCTAGCCAGAGCTGAGAGTTAAACTGGTACTTACTTTACTGCAACCAGTTAAGGGCACAGGTAGGAGGAAAAGGGGTACACTGGGCCAATTTGTTCCCTTCCCAAATGGATCCTTTAAAAAGCTTAAAGAACCGCAGCCAGGGCAGGGGTGTGTGTGTGTGTGTGTCTGTGTGTGTGCTGGCCCACAAAGGCACTTTCTGCAAAGGCTCCCACTTCTGTTTCCTTATTTTGATGAGAGTCTAATTGTATTTTCTAGAAAATGCATTAAAGCCAGGCTAAGTCATTTCCACATCTCAGTACTGAAGATATTTCTTATCTCAGTGTGTGAGATATTTCAAAGGAAAAGTGGTGTTTTGGAATGAAACATTCTTTGAGGGCCAGCAGGTCAGATATCTATTAAAAAGTATGCTTTCATCTGTGAACTGTATCACTATAGTAATATCAGCTGAGACTGCACAGCATGTGGGGGGGGGACGACGACACACAACTACATATACGGATAACATCTGTTTTACAGATTAGGTTGCTGCATTTCTTGCACTAATATAGTGCGATATATCTTTACACACATTGCCAGCAGAATGTCAGGCTTACAAATGAAATTTTGAAAGTGTTTACAAGACCCAGATCAAAGTATCTGAAGTCATTTCAAAGTTACCTACCCAATGCAAATGACACCAGTATGTTAACAAGCCACTGTGTTGTAGTCCAATTTCCAATATTAATTTCCCAAACCAGTACTATAGCTACTACAAATCACCATGGAGTTTACTCCACATACTGCCTGCTTTAAGCAGGACTCTACAAACTGAACTGGCACTGCAATTCAATCAACATACAGACTTATTTATTGGTTCTATTCCTGTGAAGAGTTAAGTCTTCTTATCAGTGAGTAAAAAAACCACACTTTCTAGCCTCATTTTCTCCACTCAAGATTTCACCACTTCTTTAGTAGCCTGATGGGAGTTCGTTTCTCCATTTGTGGTCCTTTTCAGAATGTAAGTGCAGATCCTTCAGCACCAAGTCTAACACTAGAAGGAATATGCAGCAATGAACGAACCTAAAATGAAAAACAGAAATTGTAAGCAATGGTTTTTATAGTTATACTGTGCATTATCCTCAAGTGATATAGAATGTCAGTCACACTCAGAACAGATCCATTAAAACCAATGAACCTAAGCTTACTTAGTATGATTTAGTTGGATATTACCAGTTAGTTAAGTTACATTGGGCGACATCTTACTCAGTGCTTTCCCCCCCTAGAAAAATAGGTGCCGGTATTCACCATGTTGTTACAGTAAGGGCTACAATTTTTAACATCAACAAAAGATGTGCCGGTACTGCGTGCACCTTGAGTGCCCCCTGACAAAAAGCATTAATCTTACTGTGTCCATACGCCTCAGGAATGGCTTTTTGCAGTGGGACTTTCCCATCTTTCCCTCCGAGCTACAGCACCCTGCACACCTCCAAAATCTGTTCCATATTCTCCAAAGCAGATTTTGGGAGACATGGGAAGGTATGGAGGGGGGTGGGAAACAGGGGGGCGGGTCTGCTCAAGCAACACTGGATATCAGCTATGATGATTACATTATTATTCCATGGGAATAGCATACAATTTGAATACAGCTGAAATGAATACTCCTTTTATTCCAACACTAAAATCAGTTTCTAACCTGTTTAAATCGTCCTCTGATTTTCTCCAGGTCTTCCTGAAGTTTTTCATAGGCTGGATCCTCACAAGGAAATGTCCGAATCATCTCTATTAATGACTCTAGAGCTTTTATCTTTTTACTGAAAAAATAAGACCATTTTATTTTACAAACAGTATTTAATAATTTGATGTATTGAAATACAGACTTTGGTCACACAATTCCTTCAAATGTATTTTGCTACTGTTGTTCATTTCAGCATCATATCACCAAGATGGACAACTCACAAAAATCAAAGCTATGTTCACAAATATCTACCACTGAGATGTGGGACCCACTTTGACAATGGCCCTTTACGCCTTGGCATCAATAATGCCTGTAAAGGCAAATCACGCAGGTCAGACTGTGATACTCAGACCAGCATTGCCTCTTTCTAAGGAATTGCAACAGAGGAGCCTTGCCATTTAACCAATCAACAGAATTTATTTTTACCCCCCTTATTAGACCAGCATGAGATGAAGCCATGCTACCCTAGAATTATATGTAGTAATCCATTTGAAAACCTGTTCTTCTGAAATACAGTGGTGCCCCGCAAGACGAATGCCTCGCAAGACGAAAAACTCGCTAGACGAAAGGGTTTTCCATTTTTTGAGTCGTTCCGCAAGACAAATTTCCCTATGGGCTTGCTTCGCAAGACGAAACGTCTTGCGAGTTCTTGCGAGTTTGTTTCCTTTTTCTTAAAGCCGCTAAGCCGTTAATAGCCGTGCTTCGCAAGACGAAAAAACCGCAAGACGAAGAGACTCGCGGAACGGATTAATTTCGTCTTGCAAGGCACCACTGTATCTTCAAAACATATATAGATAGTAGCACACTTTGGACGTTCAAATTGAATGTGTGAAGAGAGTACCTTTCCTCACCTCCAGTGAAATGCTTTGCAAATATGTCTGCATTTCCATTTTGTCATTTTTGCACAGGATCTTGGCTGAAGCCAGAAAAAGCCTTCCTGCTTTGTGCTCACAACATGGTGCCCATGAGCGCACAAGCATACATGGCAGCCTTCCCTAGCATTCATAGGGTCTCCTCTCCACTGAAAATAGGTTTGAAGTAAGCATTCTACTGTAGCCAACAGAATAGGTAAGAGAGCTCATTTCCTCCAGTTTGCATATGGGCCCATGGGCCCCCCAAGAGAAGCTTAATCAACCAACTGATTCCTTAAATCAAATGACAACCCTAAATTATTTCCTGTTCCATAGATGGGAACATTCAGTAACTAAAAAAGATGCTTGAACAAATGGAATTTGAACAAAGATGTTCCACACCTTTATCTTCTACCTGTATGCGGAACAACACTAGCTCAGAATTTTTTTTCATATACCTCTTAAAGAATTCATGTAAACACAGGTTTTCAGCATGCTTAGTGAGGGCAATTCAGCAACAAATGCAGCAGAACAAATGACACGGGTTAGGGCCACAGGTTACATCATGTATGCCGTGCATTAGACAAAAAATACTACATTTCAGTAGTTTTTCAGAGTACAGTGGTGCCTCGCAAGACGAAAAGAATCCGTTCCGCGAGTCTCTTCGTCTTGCGGTTTTTTCGTCTTGCGAAGCAAGCCCATTAGCGGCTTAGCGCTATTAGCGGCTTAGCGGATCAGCTGATAAGCGGCTTAGCGGATCAGCTGTTAAGCGGCTTAGCGGATCAGCTGTTAAGCGGCTTAGCGGATCAGCTGATAAGCGGCTTAGCGATCAGCTGATAAGCGGCTTAGCGATCAGCTGTTAAGCGGCTTAGCGGATCAGCTGTTAAGCAGCTTAGCGGCTTGGGGAAAAGGGGGGGAAAGGAAAAAAACCCTGCAGGAACTCGCAAGACATATTCGTCTTACGAAGCAAGCCCATAGGAAATTTGTTTTGCGAAGCACCTCCAAAACGGAAAACCCTTTCGTCTAGCGGGTTTTCCATCTTGCGAGGCATTCGTCTTGCGGGGCACCACTGTACTAACTAGCAATGCAATCAAAACTTTTAAATAAACATCCCTATTTAGCAATCTGGCACTTGCTGGGTCAGAGAGGCATCCATTTGCCAGGCAGCGAGCCCAGAAATGCTTGTCTATATATATATATAACCCTGATATCCTACACATGACCTCATCTCTTAATGTCTAGCAGTGGATTCCTGCCAGTTAACAGTCACCTCTGTATCTGAAGGAGGAATGGAAACTGCATCCACATGATATTTAGTGGTGGTCATTGCCAAAACACTTAAAAATACAGAGGTAATCCAGCCAGACCAGCATGAAAGCATGTTATAAAGAGGTGGTAGAGAGAGGAGAGACACATGGTTTAACTTACATCCCTTTGTTTCAGAAGGTAAAAACATCTGTACTGCCCAGCGCAAGTCAACCGAATACCATGCTTGAGCACTGATAAATTTGGAAAGCCAGAATCATGTTTTCTGAATCCTGATATAGATGTAATGTTGCTGAACACAAATAAAATGGTACAATGTACGATACTGTGCTAAGAGTTATTGGTATGATTTAGGTGTCACATAATACTCGCTCCACATTTGTTAAAACCCAATCACTTAGTGTGGCAGCATCTACACTTTGGAACTGTATTATTTTTGGCGCCGGCTAAAAATGTTTTTGTTTACTCATGCCTACCCAGTTGCTTAGAAAAGCTGATGTGAATTTTAAACCGTTTTAGTATTTTAACTTCTTGTATGTTTTAATATATTGTAACATGAGCCTGATGAAACTGCGGGAGGCAGTGAAAGACAGGAGTGCCTGGCGTGCTCTGGTCCATGGGGTCACGAAGAGTCGGACACGACTAAACAACAACAAAAAAATTTCCCTCACTTTATGGTTCTATCTTTTTGTAAAATGTTTTGAGGGTGTGTTTTTTTACACAACCAAGCAGTGTATAAATTTCATGAAATAAAATTAATAGATATTTGATGCTTAAATCCTGGTCACTCTTAGTGACCAGTGCTGCTACCTCCCCAGTTATTTTATTGTTGGTGTTATGGTCTTATGGTGTTACGTTCTCTCTCCTCCTTCTACTGTGATATTATCTGCTCTCTCGCTCTCTCTCTTTTTAATCTGAAGGAAACAAAGAGAACCAATGCATGATACACTGGCTTTATTTTTTAAAACCTACCTGTTTTTCTCATCAGAGCCTTTATGAAGCAATTTCTGCCATGTCATTGCAAAACCAAGATATGATCCAATCTACAAATTTGGAAAGAGATCATTTAATTTTCCTTGTTATGCCAATTACGTCTTTTTCATTTAAGAAAATCTCAGATATGTATTTAACGGGACTTACTTCCATGTAAATATACTTAAGAATGAAGCCTAAACGAACCTGTTTGAATCTAGGATTGTTACTACAATATGAATTTTGCATGGAACTTGGATATGTCCAATAACAGAACAGCAGAAACAGTGATGCTCGCTTTATAGATGAATATACATTCAGGCTCCAAGAAACATAGATTGTCATGTTGCTTCTTTTGATCAAAATGCTCATTTTATTTTTTAACACATACTTCTAAACCAATCTTTGCACCTTGTTGTATGCCATATTGCCTTCCTTCAAGGAGTCCAGCACATGTTCCTTCAGCATATCCTTCCTGATAGCCTTCACCATGAAATCTGAAATGAAAGATTTTGAAAGAGCTGTTAGGCTGAAGCAGCGAAAGAGTGCTTGCACCTTGGAGGCTAACAGCCCAATCCTATGCATGTTAACTTCAAAAGGAGTCCCACTGAGTGTCAACCAGCTTGAATGGGATTAACTATGTGCAGTTGATTTCTTCAAGTATGACTAAACTTCGCTACATCATCTTAGTGCTACATACTTTTTATTGGGTGGCATACAAATAAGGCAAATAAGAAAATAAAGTTATACAGTTAAGTAAAGCCATCTAGCTATATGGGTCCCCCCCCAAGTAATAACTCATTGTCTTTGTCCATGGAGTTTTCTTGGCAGGGATACTGGAGTGGCTTGCCAGTTCCTACTCCAGGTGGATGACGTTTGGTCAAAACTCTCCACTATGACCTGTCCATCTTGGGTGGCCCTACACGGCATAGCTCATAGCTTCTCTGAGTTATTCAAGCCCCTTCGCCATGGCAAGGCTCACTGGAAGGACAGATCCTGAAGCTGAGGCTCCAATACTTTGGCCACCTCATCAGAAGAGAAGACTCCCTGGAAAAGACCCTGATGTTGGGAAAGATGGAGGGCACAAGGAGAAGGGGACGTAAGAGGACGAGATGGTTGGACAGTGTTCTCGAAGCTACAAACATGAGTTTGACCAAGCTGCGGGAGGCAGTGGAAGACAGGAGTGCCTGGCATGCTCTGGTCCATGGGTTCATGAAGAGTCGGACACGACTAAACAACAAGAACTCATATTTTGTTGAATTCATAAAACCTAAGGACAGGACAGAACTTCTGGAAAAAGAGCTTCAAGGGGATCCAGCAGCAAGCCATACTTTTAGAAAGTCATCTTAAGCTTCTTTGAGGCAGTTCCCCCAGTAAGCAAATTATATTACAACTGAATTCCCTTAGTTTAAGTCAAGTATTTATTTTAGGTGGTGTTGAGTCTATGGTAATGCGGAGGCACTTTACTAATTTCCCACACTTTGAAAGTACTTGTCCATGGGCAGAGAGGTGGTTGAAGTTATACAACGCTATGTTCTAAACATAGGTGGAAGCTGTTAGATGCTCTTTAGGTGACAGGGTTGCACTTTTAGCCCAAACTGATTCAGGTCACACAAAAAGTGTTCAAGCTGCCAAGGTTATAAATGGTTTTATAGATTTAAATTTTCTAAGTTGTAAGGCAGATGAACTGGTATGGCAGATATGAGCCTGTGAGTACTGAAAGACTAGCCTTCCAGATATTTTCCCATCTGGCCTGACAGAGCAGGGCCCTGACTCTGCAAAAAGCTGCAAAAGCTGAGCCTGCGGAACAGACTCTTGGGCTGGAGTATTATTTAGGGGCAGGGTCTTTGTTGTTGTTGCTGTTATTTGTTTTGGGAGTATCTCTACTTTTAGATCTTATGATTTATGTGGAAATTGTTTCAATCTGGTTGTGTACTTTTTAATGTGTTTTATATGTATCATTTACTTACTTTTGCTATGTTTGGATTCACATAATTGGTTTCATGCTGTAAGCTGCCTTGAGCATTGTTTTAACTATAGAATGGCAGCATATAAATAAAGTGATGACAATGAGCCAGAATATATGCATTACAATTGTATTGATATATGGTCATACAGTGAAACTTGACTGACTAGCCTAGTGCTCTTAACGCTAGTGAATATGAACATACTTTGTAAAAGCTACTATTCTCATTAGGGTTCTAGGGGAAGCAAATACAACATTGAAATGAAAAGAAACAATACAATCACACAGAACTGCCGTTCTAAGGCAGGTCACATTTACTCTTATTTTACAGACTAGAGAATGGAGGAAAAGTAAAAACTGGCCAGGCCTACCCATGAGCTTGGAGCTCTCTCTCTCTCTCTCTCTCTCTCTCTGTGTGTGTGTGTGTGTGTGTGTGTGAGAGAGAGAGAGAGAGAGAGAGAGAGAGAACCACCACCACCCCATCATTCTCTGTGCAATCTCATATTTTTAACAGTGACACAACAGGCAGAAATCTAGCAGGTTAAACTTTCCTCTGGTATTGCATCTCTGGGAGGATGAGAAACTGCATTTCTAACACACAGGTGTTAAAATGACAGCAGCCACGGGGGGCATAATATAAGTTTATGACATTCTAAACTCTCTCATATAACACTAGACCTCTTGGGCAGCCAACGAAGCTGAATGTTGGATGTTTCAGGAGGGGCAAAAGAAAGCGCCTCTTCAATCAAACCACGGAACTCGCTCCCAGGAGCCAGCGATGGCCCCCAAGGCGGACGGCTTCCAAAGAGGACTAGACAAATGGATGGGAGGAGAGAGGGCTGTCGATGGACGCAGCTGCGAGGCAGCAATGCTTCCGAAGACCAGTTGCTGGAAACCACTGCAGGGGAGCTTGGCCGCTGCGAGAACAGGATGCTGGGCGAGATGGACCGAAGGCCTCATCCAGAAGGGCTCTTCTTATGGGGCCGAGTTTGAGCCCAGATCTCCCAAGGCGAAAGCAGTTTCCCTGAGAGAAGCAGCAGCCTCGGCACAGGGTTCCTCCCCGAGGGGCCTATAAAGCCAGGCTCAGAGCCACAAGCCTCATCAACGAGTCCAACGGGGCCTCTCTGCCCGATGCGGAGGCGAAGGAAGCGGGCAGAGTTCCCCGCGAAGGACGCCCAAGGCAGACCCGGGAACACCATCCGGCCCTACCTCGTCTCCGCCATGACAATGGTATCGAAGGCGTCCGACCCGCCCGCGTCAGCCTCCATGGCCTACGACGGCTCCTGCCTCACCGGCTCCCAACCACCGACTGGTTCTCTCACCGTGCGGCGACGTAAGGGGGCAACGGACGGCAAGCCGGCGGGGCCAAACGCGAGCGCCCTCGTCGCGCATGCTCCAAAGGACTCGGGCTTTCCCTCGTGACGTCACAGCCCGACTGGCTGGAGCGCCGCGCTCACGGTGTAGTTTTGGGCCGTTTTCCTCAAGCGCCGCGTTTCTTTGCTCCTTCCCAGGTCAGCCGCTAGAGGGCGCCGGTATTCTTCGCGAAAACGCCTCGTCTCTTTAGAGAAGCTGAATCTGAGCGCGCCGCCTTTGACTGCTGTTTATCACGAGGATAAGGGCTTCCCCTTTCGCTGTGACGCGTCGGGCGTTTTCACACGTGACGCGCAAGGAAGGAGGCAAACTTTCTGCTTTCCGGATTTCTTTTTCTCTGATATATAATATGAGATATTCCAATTTAATTATCGTACTGCTTGAGTTTATTGAGAACTATCCGACACATTTTTATTTTTAGAAACTGCATACGTTGCATTTGGTTTAATTTCGTTTTGCACAAATTCCCCTTTCTAAACAAAACAACAACAACCGCAAGCCCCCTCCATCTCTTCTCATCTGTGGTTGGTTAAAGACTTGTGCTACCAATATTCATGCATGTATTTGCTCTTTCAAAAATGGCACAAAATGCGAAAACAAATTGTGGCATTTTGAACTGCATTGGTGTCTTTTACTGTGTTCTACTACACTGGCAGGGTTGCTGTGGTTAAAGTATAATAGTTTGGAAGTATATGAGAGTGATGGATTAGAAATATTCTATAGTGAAATGTATGAGTTCCTTTTCTTTTCTTGGCTGGTTAAAAATTGACAAAGATTTTGGACAATTTTTGAGCAGTTTTTCAAGTACCGAGTGACCCAGACATGGTCATTCAAGTGCAGCGCTGAGACATCCATCTAATCTTCCCTGCTGAAACAACAGAGCAATTCCATCCAAAGTTATCAGTCAAAATTTCCTTCTGTAAACAGTCATTTCAGCTGCTAAAACACATTGTTTATGGGGAAACTGGGAGAACTAGTAACTTTCACAGGGTGACACTGAGCAAAGAGCAAGGTCCAATTTAGTTGATACTCTTGCAGCCTCCGACCTAGATGCAAGCAACACGTACCAAGAAGTACAAGATACTGGCTTTGATGCCTGAATGGGAAAGTGTTAATTAACAATTTTTAAAAAAAAAACTTACAAACTATATTTGCATAAGAAAAAAACAATCAAAATGAAATGGTTGGTATTCACTGAGTACAGTATTGGGAAAGGGCCATAGGTCAGTACTACAGCATCTGTCTTGCACGCAGAATGCCCCAGGTAGAGTTGGGAATGTTCCCTGTCTGAAATTCCAGAAAGCCATTGCCAATCAGTGTAGACAGCAAGATGGACCTAACTCTGTATAAAGCCATTTTCTATGTTCCCCCAAGGAAACCATGCTCATCAGCTGATGTGGCACATACAGTGGTACCTCGGGTTAAGAACTTAATTCGTTCTGGAGGTCCGTTCTTAACCTGAAACTGTTCTTAACCTGAGGTACCACTTTAGCTAATGGGGCCTTCCGCTGCCGCCGTGCGATTTCTGTTCTCATCCTGAAGCAAAGTTCTTAACCCGAGGTACTATTTCTGGGTTAGCAGAGTCTGTAACCTGAAGCGTCTGTAACTTGAAGCGTCTGTAACCCGAGGTACCACTGTACATTCCATCTGTTGTGATTTACGGTGATTTCCAACTTATCATCTATTATATTTCTGTGTTTCTGTTTACAATCATTATTACAGTTTGTTGTTTGTATCTTTGAATACTTGCAGTCACTCCCTCTAAGTCGAGTGCCAACAGGATTGGAGACAAGAGAAAGGTGAGAGATGTGGAGAGAGTTATTAGCTTGTTCTTGTTTTTCATGTATTTTGTGTTTTTTCATCTTGTACTTTTATGTTGTGAAGTGCCCTGAGATCTACAGATGAAGGGCAATATACAAATTTAATAAATGATAACAATATGATAATAACATCCTTGAGGTTTGCGGAAATACAATTATTATTTTTTTAAAAAATGCTGAAAAAATCCCTTTGAGGACTGAGATTGCTCAGTAGTCACGGAACATTTGGTAGCAATGGAGGGTGGGGAAGAATAAAATATAAGGGATGGGCGATGGAATTCCCTGCTTAAGAAGAGCCAGGCTGCTTGGAACACTCAATGGGGAGGATTCCTTTTAGGAGGTGAGGAACTACTGCAACATTTTGTTGCTGAACCCACTATGACGAACATGCATCAATAAGATAGGCTTGTTGATTTCCACAGAGCTTAGGCGCCTGTAAAAGCAGCTGTTGTGTTGGCAGCTATGTAGCCCATTCCTGCCCTTGCTTTAGCTGCTGCAGTGCAAATGGGCAAAACAGTAACAAAAATTGTAATCCTGTGCATGTCTACTCAGAGGTAAGCCTCCTCGTGTTTAATGGATGTGGATGGGAGACCTTCTGCTAACGATACCACCTTGGTTTCTATGATGGAAGAAGTGTGGGATAGAAATGTAAAGAAATAATACTAGCTTTTGGTATAGAATAAAAAGGACAGCTATTTTCCTGAGAACGGGGGCAGTTAAAAAGAGTCAGACTGTCTGTTTAAAGGAATCAGTTATTTGATTAAGGCAGGCATAGGCAAACTCGGCCCTCCTGCTGTTTTTGAGACTACAATTCCCATCATCCCTGACCACTGATCCTGTTAGCTAGGGGTGGTGGGAGTTGTAGTCCCAAAACAGTTGGAGGGCCGAGTTTGGGGATGCCTGGATTAAGGAAATGTAGACTACCTATATATTATATCTAGGGTCACAGGAAGACACAGCTAGTGCATTTTTCTAGTACATCAAAGGAAGTTAAGTGATGAGTGTTGCTCAAGGACAGAAAGAAACTTCTCTTCTGCTGCAAAATTCCTTACTGGTAAGGAGACATTTTCTCCGTGTTGTATTGCACAAGTGACTGATCCATTGTGGATGCTCCTGGCTACCTTTGAAATGCAGTCAGGTGACAGTGAGTTAAACTGACTAGACTGATCTGGTATGATGTTAATCTATAGCTGCATTCCTACACACACACACACACACACACACACACACACACACACACTGCACACCTGCTTGGCAGCTGAGTCTATGAAGTCAATAGAATCTATTACTAAGTTTTCCCTGATATGTTACCACGGGAACATATAGGTGTGTTTTTTTATCTCCTCTAACTGGAATGCACAGAACATTGTAAGAATCTCTGTTTTCATTTGCAAACAACCAAGCTTCTATCTCAAAGGCTGCAACAATAGCCTTGAAACAATAGCAATATCAGACAGAGAAATCTGAGAAACTGGATAGGGGAGAGATACCACAGAATTCCAGTAATGAAGGGGTATGTTTTCAGAGTGCTACATGGTTCTTTAGCCTCTCCTTAGCACTGCCAGGAGCAAACTTAGCAAATATGCGCCCTTTCGATTAATGCACCCAGGACACAAATTCCAGGGTTGTTTTTTTCCTTGATGCCACATATAAACAATCTGAGTAACACCAGTACAGACAACAGACAACTGAACTTTTCGTTCTAATTGGGTTTTTATTTAAAATGTTACATGCTAAAGCTACAGATTTTACACTCACAAACATTTTTACATTTCATTTCTGCTCACCCTTATAAAAATTACAAAGCTTTGCTACCTTTGGCCCAGACTGCTTTTTGTTTTAAAAAAAGACACTGTTGGAGTACATAAATAGAAATTTAAGTATAAATATGGTAACAAAATAAATGGATGTATGTGTTTAATAAATTAATCATAAATATTGTGTTGACAAGGAAGTGCTACATCAGGAAAATAATTATTTACAGAGCCATGCTACTATATACATACAAAACCCTTTGGGAAAGAATGTTATCCCATAGTAAGCTAGTTATTCACTAGAGGAAAATCTAACGGTAGTAAAAACTGCTATTTACAAAAAAATTAAAAAAAATAATCCATGAAATAATACTCACAATTATATTTTTTTTTTAAATTCCATCATGTTAGTCTATAGAGATTTAAAATAACTGAATTATACCCAAAGCATCTCTTACAAGTCATAGGTGGCATTTATCCATTAGGTCAAGGTGTGGAACCTCAAGCTGAGGATTTGGCCCTCTGTGCCCCTCAGTCTGGCCCTTGCCACTCTCCTTGGGCCACGCCTTCTCTCCCTTGGGCACATCTCTCACAGAACTTGCTTCACCCACTGAGTGTTTTTGTCTGGTTGGAATGTGAGCTATGATGATATCTGTCTGCCTGATCACCACAAATCCTTAGTACTAACCTTCTAATCAAATTCAGCCAGCCAGTAGATATATGATACAAAAAGTAACCTATCAGGGTTTTGTTTTGAAAGTATTTTAGTTACATAAAATTCTGGGTCAGGCAAAATTAGCCTCTGGTTAGAGAATTGGTTACCTGTTCAATTGTTTTTACTAACTCCAGAGATTGCAGCCTTACCATACAACAAATAGCTCTTTCAACAAATAGCGTTTTGGAATTGTGCACGTGTTCTGCCTGATGAAGAACCTGTGTAAATTGAAGGTTGGCATACTCTTCTGGCAACCATCATTCAGGTACTGTGAACTTCAGTTCACTAAACACTCAAAGGGGCAGCACAGCAAAGAGGATGCTATTTTCACCCCATTACCATTCTGGTCACTCTCTACAAGTTAGAGGGCAAATGTCCAAAGTGGGGAGCCTCAATTACTGATGGAGAACGCCCACTGTGTGCTTGAGAACCTTGGAAAACCATGGTTCTAAAATGTGTGTTGGGGGGGGGAGCCTCCATGAGCACAGCAGACTCCCCACTTCAGATTCCTGGATGGTAACTGGAATGGTGTCAGGGGACAGAGCTAGCGTGCATAGTGTTTCCGTATGTTTAGTCAACTCCATAGAAGAAAACCTGAAGAGGCTTGCTAGAACACAACTGCTTGTTAGTTTCTTTTGTCCCATTCCCTGTGGTTCCTGTTACCTCCTGTAGGGATCAAATGTTCAAGGGCAGAAATTGCATTTCAATAGCTGATCTTCTGAAAACCAGTAGCAGAGGTTTGTGAAAAGATTGTGTGTTAAGTTACTTGTTTAGCTTCCTTTAACTGGCTGCTCCTCTTTAATTTCTGACACTGATGTGTTTAAGGGTCTTGAAGAGAAGGACTTATCCCTCTTTGAATGAATTGCATTTGTTACATCTGTCATCAGGCCTCAGAGGTGAAGGAAGGAAGGAAGGAAGCAAGCAAGCAGTAAAGCAAAATATTCACGATCTTATCCCTCCAAGCATCCTCCAAGGCAGAAGAAATACCTGCACGCTATGCATTTTTGTCATTCCTGAATTAAATGGCATATTTTCGACGAAAGCTTTCTAAATACCGTGCCTGTGTGTCTGTAAGTCTTCATGCTGTTTGACAAGAAAGGGTAGTGCCGCATCTGAATGTAGCCATGTGTGAAATATCACTGCTAGAAATAATATACTGCTGGTAATGCCTTTTTTTTATGAAGCACAACTCACTTGTTCTCATTTCCCAAAACTAAGGCTTTTCACGGATACATCTGAGGTGATGCCGAAGGGATCCATGCTGTCAGTTTCAAGAGGGGGACTGAAAACTCCGGATTGCAAATGCTGCCCAGTGTCGCCGTAATCTCCAAAATCGGTTGACTCCACCGGCACAGTGTTGATCATTGGCAAGAAATGAGACAGTGGAAAGTCTTTCCCTTTATTTTGTTGCCTTTGCCTGGCAGTACTTAAGGACACCAAAACTCCATATTTCTTGGACTTGTAGATGTTGTAGCCATCTGGGCGCATCTCCTCTTCAAAGGAACAATCCTCTGTAGAATAACTGAGCTGAGAGGAAGTGAAAAATATTACACATTGGCTTTATACATTTTTTGCACTCTTAAATGGCATATGATGCAACAGTGTTTAGGGAAATCACCCGTCTTATGGAATGATCTATTCAGTGTGCTCTACGTGGCACTACCTTTGAAGGTGACCCAGAAACTACAACTAATCCAGAATGCAGCAGCTAGACTGGTGACTGGGGGCAGCCGCCAAGACCACATAACAACGGTCTTGAAAGACCTACATTGGCTCCCAGTACGTTTCCGAGCACAATTCAAAGTGTTGGTGTTGACCTTTATAGCCCTAAATGGCCTTGCCCAGTATACCTGAGGGAGTGTCTCCACCTCCATCATTCTGCCCGGAAGCTGAGGTCCAGCGCCGAGGGCCTTCTGCCAGTTCCCTCATTGCAAGAAATGAGGTTACAGGGAACCAGACAGAGGGCCTTCTCGGTAATGGCGCCCGCCCTGTGGAACGCCCTCCCATCAGATGTCAAAGAGATAAACAACTACCTAACATTTAGAAGACAACTGAAGGCAGCCCTGTTCAGGGAAGTTTTTAATGTGTGACACTTTAATATATTTTTAATCTTTGTTGGAAGCCGCCCAGAGTGGCTGGGGAAACCCAGCCAGATGGGTGGGGTACAAATAATAAATTATTATTATTATTATTATTATTATTATTATTATTATTATTTGGAACCATTCTTCCATAGAGCTAAATCTGATACAGACTAGTGCAGGAAGATACAAGGAGTCATTTATAACCCAAACATGGAGAATGGAAGTTCTCCATGGGGTTATGAATAGGTGTGGTTCTGCTTTTATAGATTTACGCAGTAAGATTCAATTTGATTTCTCTTACTCTGCTAACTGGTTGTAAAGCAAGAACTGTTTTGAAGCCACAATGGCCCATCACAGCAACCCACAGTTCCTAGCTGAGAAGGCTTGTTTTCGCTATGTAAATATAGCAAAAGCATTGCAGCTCAATGTGCACTTGAACCAAAGTTTACTGGAGTTCATGAGACACCTCAGGCTACCAGAAGCTAAAGGCAAATAACAGGGGAAAGGTTCACGGTAAAACAGATTGCTGCATAGTTAAAGCAACTGTCATACAGGTCTTGATTCTGATGAGGTTGCTGAACAGGCTGCCATTGCCAAGTCCTGACTGAACAACCTACTGTATTTTTTGCTCTATAAGACTCACTTTTTCCCTCCTAAAAAGTAAGGGGAAATGTGTGTGCGTCTTATGGAGCGATTGCAGGCTGCACAGCTATCCCAGAAGCCAGAACAGCAAGAGGGATCGCTGCTTTTACTGCGCAGCGATCCCTCTTGCTGTTCTGGCTTCTGAGATTCAGAATATTTTTTTTCTTGTTTTCCTTCTCCAAAAACTAGGTGCGTCTTGTGGTCTGGTGCGTCTTATAGAGCGAAAAATACGGTAAGTTGTGTCAACCTATCCCAACTATGCCCTCTCAAGTTTGTGGTGTTAGATTCTAGGGGGATTTCTGTGTTTTATTGGAGTCCTAGGTGTCCACTCCCATTTACCAGAACCTGATTTGCCTCCTTATATACTAGGGCAATGAAGCAATAGAGTTGACAACTAGAACACAAATGGAGAAAGATCTAATATGGGTTCGCCAAACACAGACTAAACACTATTTTGAGACCATCTCCATGATGATGGTGACAGCAGAGCACTTTCATCTCCATCGCCATTGCATCGGCACAGCACTATCCAGACAACATTTTTCAGGGTGCTCCTTCCAGCATTATGTGAGAGAACCATTGATATTTTAAAATATAAAATTTAAATGATAAGCATTTTTAAACAGTGTGCACACAGTCCCTGCAATGTGGCCAGCATTTAAAAATTAGACATGAACCATGTTTAGTAAGCTAATTTAATTGAAAAAATCCCTTTGACTTTGACAAAATGAGGATTTGTATTTTATAATGTCACAGAGTAAGAATTGGTCATGTAGTGTTAACATATATTCTGAGTATTGGAACCAAAAAATGTGCTTGCTAACACAGAAAGACTAGCACATAATAAAACAAAAACAAACAAAACAGGATGGTGATTTTAGTCTGTTCCAGGTCCTCTGTGTCACTGCTCTTTTTCTTAAAACTCTGGTACTATTCTGGTTCGGTCATTAGAGGTGACTGAACTCTCTGTCAACTCAGAAGTATCGCTGATTGCGTCTGGGGCTTCGATGATAAGAGAAATGGTGTTCGTGCATGAACTCTTTACCTGCCAAGTCCCTGTGTCATACTTTCCCCCCTACACGTGTAACATATTATGCTGACAATCATCATTAAGAAGTAGAAGAGGCTAGAGCAGAATTCTCTTAATGACTAAATAGGCTTAAAGTGCAGCACTTCAGATGTGGATTGGGCTATCAGGCATGTGGAAAAACATGTTTTTGGTTTTTGTCTAGATTAGGGAAACATCTTGAGATGTGAGGCTGCTGCCATGCAAGTCACTTAACTGCCTTTAACTGTTGAGTTAATTCATTAATTTTCACACAGTCACAATGCAGAACAAAATTCAGTATGGCAATAACAGTTTGACTTGCAAGGCAGTCCTCAGGCATGTTTACACAGAAATGAATTCTAAAGTGTTCAGAGGGGCTTATTTTCAAGTGTAGCCTTACTTTTTGTAATGTGAATGATACAGATCTATACAGAAACTATACAGTAGTACCTCAGTTTTCAAATGTCTCCATTGACGAACATTTCGGTTTTTTAATGCCATAAACCTTCCATTTTCAAATGCACCTCAGAAGTCGAATGGCTTCCGCTGAGGTACCACTGTATTTTTCTCAATTTTCTCTATTAAATTTGAAGGCCGCCCTTTGCATCTTGGTTTCCAGATGTTTTGGAACTCGAATGATCTTCCGGAATGGATTACATTTCTTAACCAAGAGGTGGTTTACAACAAGTTCTGTCACTATTTACAGACAGAAGCTTGAATGAGACCAAACTTAAAACCCATTATTTATATCTGTGTTTACTGTTGAAAAATAACATTGGGGCATGTAAGATATGCACGTTAGAGAGTTATGAATGGGGATGGCGATACTAGTGTATCTATTAAATTTCTATATCATCATCAGCTGGAAGACCACATAAACAGCACTTTGAAAGCATGCTAACCTGATTGGACTAGATAGCACTTGTGGTCCCTTCCAACTCTACAATTTGTTGATTAGCTAAGCTCAAGTGAAAATAGCCGCACTGTTCAATATGCATTCACATTTCAACGCACTGATTTCAATAGGGCACAACCATCTATAAGTGTGATTTGAGCTGTTGTGCTGGTAAGCAGTTATATGATTATTGGGCTGGAAAGGGACCTTGGGGTCAACCAATCCAAACCTCCTCAGTGCAGGATCTGTAACTGCAGGACGCAATGGCAACACCCATGACCAATGACTCTTTCGTCTCTGCTTAATACCCTCCAGTGAAGAAGAGACCACCACTCCCCAAGGCAGCCTGTTTTGCTGTCTTAACGTCTCAGGCCATTAGGAAGTCTCTCCTAACGTGTAACAGAAATCTGCTTCCTTGCAATTTCCACCCATTATTTTTAATCCTTCCCTCTTGAGCAACAGAAAACAAGTCTGCTCCATTGTCTGACACCACTTCAGATATTTGAAGAGAGCTCTCATATCTCCCCTTAATAGTCTCTTCTCCAGGCTAAACATACACAGCACTTTCATGCCTTACTCATGGGACTTGATGTCCAGACCCCTCACTATCCTGGTTAGATTAGGCTGATTGACCTACTTAAAACTGACTCAACATCAATAAAACCGCAGCAATCCACCTCGCAACAAATCTGGTTTCCTACAGAGCAGAGTGCCATATATTCTTAAATTAGTCTCCTTATGAAGTTAACTAAATAAGAATGACACATATCAGACTTTGAGACCTGATGCTGGTTATCTAGGGTGATTTTTCAGCAGCATCTCAGTTCTCAGGTATAGAAGGGCAGGAAAGAATACATTATCCTCCAAGTAGGTTATGTAGGCTTTTCAAAGCGAATGGGGATTAGAGCTCTGTGGACCTTCGTGATATAGGCTGCAATTCAAGCCTGTCCCCTCCTGGTGGCGGCACTGAGCAGTCACCCTATCCACAGCCCTGCTGCACACAGTAGCGGAGGCAGAAGCTCGGGGACATGAAGATCACTGTGCCAGCTTGAAGTTGCTCATGCAGCAACGTGGCCCAATGCCGTCATGCTACAGCAGTGAGACTGGCTCAGGGTTCAATGAATCATGGGGTGGCTCAGCCCTGCTTGAAGGAATCCCCTCCCCCAGTGGCACTCCTGCCCACAAGACTGGTAGAAGGCTGACTGGTAATCTGTTATCCTGGGCACATACACACCTCGGAGTAAGCCCCACGGGGATTTTCTTCTGAGAAAACATGCCCAGGATTGCACTGTTAGAGACATTCAAAGTAAAGGTGCCGTAATTGATTTTTGGAAATCCAGGCTTCAGTCCTGCACCCATTTCCCTGTACGCCTCATTGACCTCAATGGGAATTACTTTGGGCTAGACATGGGCTAGACATGATGCAGGTGGCGCTGTGGGTTAAACCCACAGAAGGTCGGCAGTTCAAATCCCCATGACGGGGTGAGCTCCTGTTACTCGGTCCCAGCTCCTTCCCGCCTAGCAGTTCGAAAGCACATCAAGTGCAAGTAGATAAATAGGTACCGCTCCGGCAGGAAGGTAAACGGCGTTTCCGTGCGCTGCTCTGGTTCGCCAGAAGCGGCTTAGTCATGCTGGCCACATGACCCGGAAGCTGTATGCCGGCTCCCTCGGCCAATAAAGTGAGATGAGCACCGCAACCCCAGAGTCGGTCACAACTGGACCTAATGGTCAGGGGTCCCTTTAACTTTACCTAGACATGCATAGCTTTTGGGGTGCAGTCCGTGCTCCACTGAAGGACTGTACCTTCTGTCCTTAGCTCATGCCCTGATCTAAACATGGAAACGCTGTGCATCATCTGAATGAAAATGGGTTGCGTAGAAGAGCTTAAGAATGCCCCATTACAAATGTGGCAGAGAGCCTATAGATCTGGTGGAGGCAAATCAGGCAGCATTCCGCCCATCTCAGCCAGCCCCCCTCTTGCCTGCCTTTGTACTTTGAACTGGTCCATAGGGTGACCTTGGCTTTCGGCTTCCCCTCCTTAGTCGCTCTGTTGCCCTTTTAGGACTTGGCAGGGAAGAGGATGAGGACAAACCTAGAATTAGCTCTACCTGGCATTAGCTCTGCATCTGCCTACCATCAGTCTCCCTGCCTTCTGCCCAACAAGTCTCTGTGGGCACTGCACCAGCTACCACTGTGTAGACCAGCTTTTCCCAACCTGATGCTTCTCCAGATGTTTTGGAATAGCTGTGCTGGCTGGGGCAGGTGGAAGTTGTAGTCCAAAGTGTCTGGAAGTCACCAGGCTGCAGACACTATAGACAAACTTTTGAGTCCATCACAGGTTCCCTCAACTTCAGTTAAGCAAGCAACAAAAGGCGCCGATTTCCTTCACTGATAGCTATATTTCTGTAAAACCACACCTAGAGGGGAGTGGGGAGGAATACAGGAGCAATCTTTGGCAGATTATCTGCAGAATGACCTGAAGAGCAAGAAGATTTTGTGCTAATTTAGTAATTCCATGCAATAAATATTTGGCATATATCCCAGTCCAACTGGAGAAATTTAAGCCCATGATTAACTGTCCCATCAAAAATCACTGGAATTTATAAGTCCTTAACTTTGACCAAATTACACCAAGTTATTTCACACCAAGATTCAATAATGCCTTTCCTAGCTTTGAACATCGGGAATCATGTGTTGGTGCAAAAAGTTACACCTTCACATGCATGATCCTAATCAAAAACAGGTTAAAAAGAGTAAGAAATTGGAGCTGGAACAAATGTTATGTAATAAAGATCTCAGGGTACAAACACCTTCTGTAATGTTATGGGTGTGATGTGCTGGTTGTATTTTGACATGGGAAGCCCTGCTCAAATCTCTGTTTAGTCGGGCAGGCTTACTGGGTGGCCTTGGGTACATCCTTATCTCTCAGCCTCACCTACCTTAAGGGTTGCTGTGAGGACAGAATGAGATAAAGATCAACCATCCAGCCTGGAGCCCCTTTAAATAGTTCAGAAAAGAAATCTAAACAAATCGTAAATCTTAGGAGTCCAAATTCTGGAATGCTGCTGGTTCTGCCACTATTCATAGAGGGGAAAAATACACAGAGTAAGTGCAAAGAAGACGCTATTCCTCCATTTCCTCTTTTGTTCAGTTCAAAGTTATTTGTTATTACCTTAATGGTTATTTTATTACCATGCTACCTTAATCCTATCCAGCGTGGACTCTTCCCTTTGCCTGAACCTTACCACCAGCGAGACTGGAGTTCCCAAATTACCTCGTGATTGGATTTTTAAAATTCTTTCTGTTGCCTAATCACAGAGCCCAGAGCTTAACTAATAATAATAATAATAATAATAATAATAATAATAATAGGTTTCCTTTCAAACCCGTTTAAGATCGTGGCGCAACGTGTTTAGACTTTGTTGTGTGGGAGTAAAATAAAATTGGCCAGGCTGCTATGGTTTTGTCTGGCCCGGGAGCACTGGATACAAATCTCCAGGAGCCGTTGTGGGGGCGCATGCATGCAAAATCCTTTCCCCCTCGGGGCTCTGGGCATGCCTAGGTCGAGGGGGTCCCCGCCGCAACTTACAAGCCCGCGCAGCCTTCCCTCCGCTTCCATGCAGAGGTAGCGAGAGCTTTCCACGCCCTTGATCGCCACCGTACGAACGGACACGGCTCGGATCTCCAGCAAACCTGCGCAGCGAAACAAAACGCAGCGTTAGTACACGGTGAGGTGGAGACGGGAAAGTTGGCTCTGCGGGAAACAACCTCTCCCTCTCTTGCGCGCGCAGCTTTGCCGGACCGTCGGTGTTTTAGATCCCTGTCCCAACTGCACTCACCTATCCCCCCTCCCTAGATACACGTCAAGGACCCGCACATTGGCATAGCCAGGATTTATTGGGGGGGGGGGCAGGCCACCCACCTGTCACTATCCGCTGTCCGGCTCTGTCTAGCAGATTCGGAATGAAATATCTCAATAGCAATTGTTTTAAATTCTTTTCTTTTGTCCCCAAGTGCTCAGAAAAAAAATGTATCAAAATCTTGTTACTTTTTTTTTTTTTACATTTAGTTAACTATTTATTTTTTTGATCTAGCGGGGTCAGCTGCCCCCCCTGCCCCCGCCCATGGCTCAGGAACCGAAGAAGAGAAGTGGCCCTGCAAGATTGCGCGGCGCTTTGGCGAGCGCGGTTACTTACTATGCAGATTCTGGGCGCTGGCGCCGTCCACTCGGCCGTCGCTGTTGATCCTCAAGAAATAGCTGAACGAGCTGTGTCTGCCGGCGGTGTAGAGGTGCCTCAATCTTATGGCCTCTCCCCAGCCATAGTTGACATGTGGTCCAGCATCGGTGAGGGGCAGGGACCGGGCGAGCGTGACCAAGCAAAGCCCCGCCAGAGCCAGGAGCGCGCCAGCTTTGCGCAAAGTCGGCCACATCTTTCGCCGAGGAGAGGAGTTCCACCTCAGCGCAAACGCAGGCAGAGGCGCAAAGGTTCCCGCGGAGAAGAAGACCGAGGTGGCCAAAAAAGACAGGGCGGGGGTGGTGGTGAAGCTCAGGGCTTTGGGAGCGACTTGCTTCAGGAGCGATTGCAGGAGAGGCAAAGCCAATCCGCGGCCTTTTATAGGTCTCCTTATCAGCCCAATCGATAAGGCTAATTCCAATATAGACACTGCTCCATCGCAGGACTAGGGCCAATACCCGCCCCGCTGGATCAATAAGGATTACATCACAAGCCCCGGGACACCCCTTCGGGTTGCATTTCTGCCGCGCGCTTTATTTTATTGCCAAAGCAATTCGCTGACCGCTCTTCCAGCGTGGCTTTAAAAAACGCGCACGACGAGCAAAGTTTTCGGAAAACTCGCGAGCGCGCTTCCAAAGCCAGGATCAGAGGGAGGAGAAATGGGTGCGTGGTGCGCGGGAAGCGAGAAAGAAAACCGTGAAAAGCCGAGTGCACCAGGAGGCGCGAAGAATAGGAAGAGCGAGGAAATCAATGGAGAAATGGAAGTGAGAGGGGAGATCAAAGGCAGCAGAATTCACCCGAGACGTTCCAAATTCTTTCCGGTAGGAGGGTTTGGGTGGGGGGCGTTGACCCTCCCTCCCCCTCAATCTGTTCGCTTTCCCCAAAACACATTCCCACGACCCACTCCTTGCAAAAATGCAAGCAATTTCATATGTGTTGAGAAAGGGTTGCTTTGAATTTCGCCCCTTTTATGGACGAGAACCCCAGCGCTTTTTAAAAAAAATACCCCTTCCCCGTGCTGCTAAGGCAACAGCAGATCATCCTGTCCCCATTGGCATCTCTGGAAGTGGCGTGAGCGAGGCTGGCCCGGTCGCTCATTGTATCCCGCCAGAGACCACAGAGCTTGAAAAAAGGCCGGCTGGAGAAAGTCTAAATCTCAATGGAATTTACTAATGACCCGGAAAATCGCCCACTTAGGGGGCGGGGAGGTTGCCTCGCCTTTGTTCCACAAGGTGGCCAGAAACGCGTTGGCTGATGCAACGCCTCCCAAGATTGCAAAGCAAGGGAATCCTTACATGCAGCCTGGCCCCCTCCTCATCTCCGTGCCTCCGGGGTGAAGGAAAGAGCAAGCAGCACGTACTTGTATAGATGTCTAACCTCCTTCCTTCCCTTTCTTCCTTTCTTTATTGCATTCATATCCCACCTTTCCTCAAAGGACCCCTCTCCTCCCAATTTACAACAACCCTATGTGGTAGGCTAGGCCCAAATAGTGACGGGCCCAAAGTCACTCTCAGTGAGCATCGTGGCTGAGGAGAGACTTGAACTGTGACCCTCCAGGTCTAACGATACCCTGCTTTAAAGAAATCTTTTCATTAATATGCTTTTTATTAATATACTGTAAGTCATAGCATAACACCACATATCTCTGTATCTAGTTTATGTTGTTATTATTTTTTTTACGTATTTATCTTAAAGCATTTCCAAACTGCTTAATATTTAAAAATGTCTAAGCTGTATACAAAAAAATACAGCATTAAAGACTTTTTAAAAAAAGTTTCATAAAAACAGAGTTGCAACATAAAAAACCAGCAAAACAGTATTCTAAAAACAGATAAAACTGGGAATTCAGTAATAAAACAGTTAACAAGTTAGTAATGCAAACAAAAGCAATCAGAGAGTCTCACGGCACCTTAAAAGATGAACACATTGTTTTCATGGGCTCAAGCCCGCTTCATGGCATATGGGTGAAGTGAAATCGTAGTTGGCAGGTAACTCAATAAAGGAAAAAATGGGAAGGTGGGAGCTGGAAGGTAATGAGATGCAATTTTGCAGTCAGTGTGATAATGATCTGACAAAGTGGGTTTGAGTATGTGGAAAGCATATGTCATTACAGTATAAATTTGTTAGTCTTGAAGGTACCACAATTATTTTTTTGCCATTGACTAGCACACTCTGGATGTACAGTGGTACCTCGGGTTACAGGTGCTTCAGGTTACAGACACTTCAGGTTACAGACTTTGCTAACTCAGAAATAGTACCTCAGGTTAAGAACTTTGCCTCAGGATGAGAACAGAAATCACACGATGGCAGTGCGGCAGCGGTAGGAGGCCCCATTAGCTAAAGTGGTACCTCAGGTTAAGAACAGTTTCAGGTTAAGAATGGACCTCCAGAACGAATTAAGTTCTTAACCCGAGGTACCACTGTATATAGAATGTGTGCCTACATAAATGTATATGCATATGGTACAAGCATACACAGTGATGTGTGTGTAAAACTGTTAGGTAAAAGTTACATAGTAAACCTCTGGGTGGCACTCCAAGGCCAATAGGCAAGGACTTCTCAGACCATCTTTGGTTAACTTATCATTCCACCCATTCCCAAAGTTCCTAGGCTGGACTGTCAAAACAGAGGTGGAAGCGCCGATTAGCTTTGTCTTTTTCCTAGTTAGATTTCCCTGCTCTAGGAGCCACACAGTTGTTGGGCTTTCAGGTATCATGGGCCCAGCTCCCTTGTCCTGACAAAGGATAGTGCAGGTCATTTCCTAATGATGTACATTCAGGAGACTTTCTTCAAAGCCTCTAATGTCACCTTTCACTCAGTGCTAAAGCTCTTTACCTGGGAGTAAACCCCAAGAGGAAGTCCATGGATTTCAGTCGGCCTGCTCTCAGGATGAATTCATTGAATACAGCTCTCTGTTCACTAATGAGTTCTGTTGATTTCAGTGGGACTTCCTTCCTGACAAATATGCTGCAATGACTGTCCTAGTCTTATAGTTTCCTAAATAAAACTATGCTTGAAACATTTCGGTACTTGACTTTTACATATTTATACGCAAAAATGTCTATATCTCCAAAATTAAGAACAGCAGAATATCAACATCAATCTCATAAAATGAGTACAAAAGACATGAGTTCCTGGCAATTTTTTGAGCAAATTGTTTTGCTTTTTGCAATGATTGGAAGCTGTCAATAAATGTTTGAAGACGACCTGTAGGGCTACACCCTTACTGTTCTGTTTCTGTTTTTATTATGTATTTTGGTGCTGGTCTTTAAAGCCCTAAACGACCTTGGCCCAGTGTACCTGAAGGTGTGTCTCCACCCCCATCATTCTGCCAAGACACTGAGGTCCAGCTCTGAGGGTCTTCTTCTGGTTCCCTCCCTGTGAGAAGCGAGATTACAGGGAACCAGGCAGAGGGCCTTCTTGGTAGTGGCTCCCTCCCTGTGGAACACCCTCCCTTCAGATGTCAAGGAAATAAACAACTATCTGACTTTTAGAAGACATCTGAAGGCAGCCCTGTATCAGGAGGTTTTTAATGTTTGATATTTTTATTATGTTTGTAGGTATGTTGTAAGCTGCCCAGAGTGGCTGGGAAAACCCAGCCAGATGGGTGGGGCATAAATAATAAAATTGTTGTTGATGATGATGGTGATGATGATGATGATGCTGTGTTCTGGCCTGAGATCTTTGTTGGAAGGATGGTATACAAATTTAATATATAAAATGAAATAATGCACTTGTGTGAGACCATATCCTGCTGAATTCAGCGGGGCTTACTTCTGAGTAAACACTGGGAAGTGTTCTGTACCTCTTACCCTTTAGAGATCCAATTCGTTAATTGTACAAGGGCTGCTTCTTAGTTATATTGCTTTTTACCTGCAGGGCCTGCTTGCATAGGAAACAGTGTACATATAAGCACCTGGTGCTGTCACATACAGAGTGTTGTGCAAGTCTTGGTTTCATTACTAAGACGAGGTGGATACAGTAGAATACTTGTAGCAAGATAGAATGCTTTGCTGCATTGGGGATTGAGCCCATTAATTTCCCCATGAGAATTAATGGATCTGCATTTGGGGAAAATCGCAGATCAAGTGTTCCAAGGGGAGAACCAAGTGCTTAGAGAATGACAATACAGAGATTATTTAGCTTTATAGGAAGGCTCTGAAATTAGATACATCTATGATGAATGGATTTATTTTGGGAATGGATTTATTTTGACTCAATATATGTTTGGTATTTAGGGACCCATCTGGCAGAGCCATGCTCAAATTCTGCAGCTAACCTTAATTCTTTGTTTGGCCACAAGATGGCACTTTAAGCCGTAAGACTTCTCTCCCTCTTTCTGATTCTACAGAAAGCAGTGCCAGTTTTGAAAGTGCCCTGTAAGCTTATTGCGGCTGCCTTCTCAAATACTTGGCTTTATGTTTTGTTTAGCAGAAGCTGTGGACACTATCATTGCCTCTGCTTTAGGCAAGACAAAGTCCATTAAGACAGCTATGTTAGAGCTCGTTCATTCACAAAGGGTCTGGTTCTCGGGGCATCAATTTCATTCACAAAAGTTTCCATTAATTGAAGTCAGGGGTGTTGATGGGCTATTTATTAATTAAAACATATACACCTTCGAGCATAAAAACCCCCTCAAAGTGGACTACAGGTCCCACCATCCCTGTCCAGAAAAAGCTGACCAGTGCAACTTGGGAGTCCCAGATAATGGGAGTTTATTAAAGGTGAAATAATGAATTTAGGCAGAAAGAGACTTAGGCAGGAAGAACCAGCTGCACAAATATAAGATGGGGGACCTGGATTGCCAACAGTACATGTGAAAAGGATCTAGGGCTCTTAGTGGACCACAAACTTAACATGAGTCAACACTGTGATGCAGCAGCAAAAAAAGCTAATGCTATTCTAGGCTGCATTAACAGAAGTATAGTGTCTTGATCAAGGGAAGTAATAGTACCTCTCTATTCTGCCTAGGTCAGACCTCACCTGGAATACTGTCTCCCGTTCTGGATGCCACACTTTAAAATAAACCCTGCAAGGATATAAATAAAGGATTCCATTCTATGTTCTAACAATGTGAAAAGTAATATTCTTCTCTGACCACAGACCGGGATGGCATTTCAATCTCTAGTTACAGATGTCTTTCAAAAATCAATACAATTAGAAAGCTAATTTTAAGCGCAGCTGATGAAAAGGCACTGACAGATATTTTACGTAATGGATTCTTAATCACTGCTGGTAGTGAATATATTCCTAAGAGACGCACAATTCTTCAGACTTCTCAGAAACTCCGCTAATTAAAAAGAAAGGGAGCAGCTTTCCCCAAGCAATCAGTTTCAGAAGTCATTGGGACTATTTTCATTTTCTTCCGGGTGTTTGGAAAGCAGGGCTTAATTGAAACAAATTTCACAAGGTCAAACATGATTTGGGAGAGGACCATAGCTCAGTGGCTGAGTATGTCTTTTAGCCTGACCTACCTCACAGGGTTCTTGTGAGGACATCCAGGTAGGACTGGAAATCCCTGAAGAGATGTTGTCAGCCATTGCAGAGCAGATGGGTGGATTAATGGTATGACTCAGTATAAGACAGTTTCCCATGTTGCTGTTTGCTTGCCCACTCACCATTCATTCCTATCGTAGATACAATTACCTTCAAGATGATGCAATTTGAGGAATGCATACATAAGTGATACAAATTTATTTTTAAGATCGTTTACCCCCTCCCTACATACACATTGTGGACAACTTTGAAATACACCTTTAAAAAAATCAGCTTTAAAAGAATCAGCTGATTTTTTAAATTTATTTTTTCTCATTTCATCATCTTTTCATTGTAAGTTGACCAAGAAAAAACCCTGTGAAATCTTTCTGTAAAAAACATTCCTTGGTTGGGATCTCTCTTGCTACAGAGAAAGAAACACAAAGAACAAGCAGCTGTACTGTTGTGTCACTTCATTTTTTAAAAAGTCCCTGGAATCAGTTGACAAAATTACTTTCCAACATTATAAATACACTGGCCAAGATTCCAAGTTTCATTAAACCAGTTGCATAAATCTACTGGTGTTTAGACTTATTTCCTCAAACAACATCCCCCCTCATACACCTCTGCTATACCCCATGGCAAGCTGCTCTT